GAGTTAATGCTTAATGTTCACTTTTATAAGTGTAGAAAAATCATTAAAAAAAATGTTGGCGGGGTCTTTCAAGTTGAGAGCAAAACCAAAAAAACGTACTTTGCACTCCAATAACAAAGATAATTGTTGCTTGCCATTCCCTAACACAGGGCTGCTTTGTTCTACTTTTCCGTTAAGAGTAGATAGGCAAATTAGCTAATTCAAAACAAATATGAGTTCCACGCACACCGACCGGCAAGTGTTGTTTTTCTTTGCCTTTCAACACAACTGCAAGAGAACTGAGCTGAGCCCTTGTGAAACTTCACATAGGACATATCTGTAGTCTTGGAAGAGTTATGGTTTATCTATGCAGGCAAAGTAGCCAGAACTCAGATATGGTTCTCCATTATAATCAATTTATAGCACAGAAGAGATCATTCAACCTATTCTGCGTCTATCATCCCATTTGAAAATTCAAATCCAAGTTGTCTTCCCACACACAGTGAGGTACAGATCCCAGCATCACACAGCATCTTCAGAACATACAGACACACACACACATATAGACACAAACATGCAAGTGCACGCACATACATGCACACACAAAAATAAATACACTACACATACAAATATAGACACATGCATATAAGTGCATGTTCATACACACACACACAAACAGATACATACAACTATAGACACATATATACAAGTGTGCGCAAAAATCACACCCATTTGCTACTTTTAGGGCTTGTACCCAAACGTTTACAGATAACACACACGCTTTTAGTCCACCCTACTCCAGGCACAAGTGACTTGATTTAAAGTAATATTGAAGGAAGGAGGGTTTTCTGTGCTAAGTTCTTTCAATGGGGGTTGCTTCTGCTAGTTGCTGACCGCAGCCACATCATTGATTTATCTTGAGCCACCCTATTGCTTGGTACGTTTAGCAAAATGTCGCTATTACTTATTTACACTTCCAAAAACAGTGGTTGAAGCAGAATCTGCAATAGCTTTCAAAAGCTAAGGAACTCAACAAATATTTCAAAAGGCAGAAATTAAAGGGAGTAGGGAGAGGGCAGGGGAGATAGGGGAGTGGAGTGAAGATAAGGATAGGGTAGTGGGGATAGGGCAGGGGAGTTGCATTAAAATGATTGCTCTGTCAGAAAGCTGGCGAGGGCTTGATGATCAAGCTCAATGGTCTGTTCCCGTACTGGAAAATGCAGCGATTCTAAGGGACAACATTCGGGGAATTACACCTAATGTGGAATTGAAGCATAGAATAAAGATGAGAAGGACTGGTGTGTGAGAGAGTGTCAGGTAGGAAGTCACAGGTCACACCCTCACCATAAACCTTGTTCAGACCTGTCAGCAGGTAGATAAAGAGCTGCCCAGATGTGGGTACAGTACTATCATAGAATCATACAATTATACAGTACAGAAGGAGGCCATTCGGCCTATCGTGTCTGTGCTGGCTCTTTGAAAAGAATGTATTTGTTCTGTCCCCAAACTATCTCCTCCTTGAAGGCTTCCTATAGCTCGTTAGCTGTATTACCTGCCAATCCTTCTTTCCAGTCCACCTTGGCTGGGTCCCTTTTTAACTCATTGAAATTAGCCCTCTTCCAGTTGAGTATCTTCACCTTTGATTGCTCCTTCTCCCTTTCCATAAGTACTCTAAACCTAATGATGTTGTGATTACCGTTGTCCAGAAGCTCTCCTGCTGAAACCTGCTCCACTTTATTCCCCAGAACTAGATCCAGCATTGCTTCCTTCTCGTTGGGCTGGAAACACACTGATTCAGAAAGTTATCCTGCACACATTTCAGGAATTCTTCCCCTCCTTGCCCTTTACATTGTTATTTTGCCCATCTATGCTAGGATAGAAGACCCCCATTATCACTACTCTATTGATTTTGCATCTTTCTAAAATCTGTTTGCAGATTTGCTCGTCTATGTCCTTCCCACTATTTGGTGGTCTATAGTATACACCTAACAGAGTAACTGCTCCTTTTCTGCTCCTTAACCCTAACCAAATATATTCTATTTTTGGACCCTCTAGCACATTGTCCCTTTCCAGGGTTGTAACCATGTCTTTAATCAATATTGCCAAACCCCATCCCTTTTTTCCTTCCCTTTCCCTCCTGAATACATTGTAGCCAGGAACATTCAGCTCTCGTTCCTGCCCTTGTTTGAGCCAGGTCTCCGTTAATGTCACTACATCATAACCCCATGTGGCAACGTGAGCCTGCAGCTCACCAATCTTATTTGTCACACTCCGTGCATTTACGCACATGGTCTCCAAGACCAACTTAGTCTGTTCTTCATTTCTCCCCTGTCTAATCCCTCCTTTTTCTGGATTGCTCTTAATTACATTGTTATTCATCTCTCCCAGCCCTCTGTGTAACTTGTCTGTCCTCTCTGATGCTACATCCTGATTCCCTTCCCCCCTCAAAATTAGTTTAAACCCTAGTTAACCTCCCTGCAAGGACATTGGTCCCACCTTGTACAGGTCCCACCTTCTCCAGAACTGGTCCCCATGATCCAGGAAGCTGAAGCCTTCTTTCTGTACCATTTCTCAAGCTATGCATTCATGTGTTTGCCCCTGCTGTTTTGATACTCACTTGCACAAGGTACCGGAATAATCCAGAGATCACCACATTTGAGGTCCTACTCTGTAGCCTTTTCCCCAGCTTCTGATACTCTCCCTGTAGGATCTTAGCTTTTTTGTTCCTTATTCCAACATGGACCACGAGTTTTGGATGTTCCCCTTCCCTCTGTAGAAGGTTTTGCACTCAATCTATGATGTCTTTAACCTGGCGGCAGGGAAGACAACATACCATGCGAGAGTCATGTCTTTGGTTGCAGAAACGCCTGTCTACTCCTTTCATCATTATGTCCCCAATGACAATAGCATCAACACTCTTCCCTGTGGACCCTGTGCATCCATTTGCTTTTGACTCCCGTCCCCAAATTCCTTACCAGAATTCTCACTCTGTTGCCAACTCACTCAGTTCCCTCCTCAGGCTGCTGGGCTCTCTGCTCAAGTGTTCATGTCTTGCACAGAAAGAGCTTGAGGAGAACTGCGTAGTCATAGGGAATGCTGTTCTGGAAATTTTGTGACTCAAGAAGTGAAAGGTTTAAATCGGAAGTGGGTTGTCCAGGACGTATTAAGTTTGGACATGTGGGTGATAATTATTAATAATGGTAACAATAATAATAACAATCCTTGCATCATTCATTTCACCCACAAATATATATAGTAAATTCACTTTACAGTCCATTCTGTGCTTCTAGAAAAGCACATATCAAATGCAAGTATTATTATTATATAGCGCCTTTCACATCAAGAGCACATCTCGAAGCACTTCGTAGGATACATTATAAAGTGTATTGACTGGCACAATACTACAAAATGGATGATTTAAATCCATAACCAGCTTAGCCCAAGACTTGAACTGAGGGACTGCACCTATCCACTGACAAGCTGAGCAGATTGATTGCAAAGCTTACCAAACACAGAGGAAAACAAGTGTATTTTTTCCCTCATTCAGTACTTGCTTATCTCGATATGTTTGCTTTTTCCATGATAAGGGCTGATGTGTTGGGCAATGCCGTCCAACACAAACCAACCTGAGCCCTGGAATCCTGTGAAGTGCTTATCTGCCTGATTGGTTAATAGTTGCCTCAACCACACTCTGATAGCAATGTTGCTGAATTGTTAAAGACCCTTCCAGACTTCCAACTGCAACTTCATGTGTGTGTGTGTGTGTTGCAAGTCTATAGAAAGCTTTCAAGTCCACACTAAGGTTTGAGGAAGTGGGAGATTTGCAGGTTAGAACCCACTCCCCCCCTCATTTGAATTTGTGTGGCTCAATGGGAAGGGGGGAAGCCAATTTGATAACCCTGATTTTAAACTGTTACTCGTTTAGAAGGATTGGTATTTAACTACCGCTTGGCTAAGTTTCTGAAGAATCAGCATTCAGAAGTGCTTTCCTGTTATCGTCCTATGTCAGGGACTTTGAACTCACAGTCCGATATTCCAATGTAATCTTGGGGGGAGCCCTGTATTGGAAGTGCTTGCCTGTGGATGAGTTGTTAAACCAAGTCCCATCTGCCTGCTAATTTGTGGGTATCAGCAACACAATAAGGCACTATAACAAATGCAAGGATTATTATTATTGTTAGAAATTCTTTGCTCCCACTCTAAGTGTTATTCTTCTTATTAAAAAAAAATCGGTCATTCCTTAAATAACTGGGACATTTTTCAAAAAAATAACAGGGGGAAGAAACAATAGGTCCGTAGTCAGAATATCTCTGAATTTACTTCACTGGGCTTCATTATTCCAGTTATCGTAAAGCTTGTGCTAATATTTGGATGAGACCCCAGTGTGGTCCAAAGAGACATTCGGGCTGCCAAGTTCACCTACTTATAAAGTATTTGTTAACTTGAACAGAATCTGTTCCAAATGGGATCTGACCCTTCCAACCAGGAGGTAGAGGGTGGTTAGATTTTGTTCCATTGTTCTCTTTGTTCGCGCCTTTCAGTCTGCCAGTGGCTATGGCAGGCACAAATGCAGCGAGATGAATGAAGAAAAATCCAATTATGTCGAGGAAGATTAATAGGCTTTCTAACCTACAAATAAGGTTTATGTGTGGCCCGTCAGAGAGCGAGCGAGAGAGAGAGTGTGTCTGTAACATTAACATTATTCTGACCAGTTTGATTTTTGCAGTAAATGTAAACCATGTGTGGGTACAGCCGTATAATGCGCCAAATGCAAACACATGATTCAGAGAAAATTACAGGTGTCCTCAGTTATGCAATTAACTGTCCTGTTCGCTAATTGTTCATTTTATGCTGAAAGCCTTTACACACATACAGTACACAACCCCACATTGGTTTGAACAAGTTCTCAAGCCCCGTAAGGTGAGGTCGATTACGTCAGAAGATGCTGCCTCATGCTTTTAGACTACGGGCAGTTTAAGAAATCTGCTGAGTTGTTAACATCCTGACCATTTTATTTTCAGGTGAGAAGCCTTACAGATGCACGTGGGATGGATGTGACTGGCGTTTCGCTCGTTCAGATGAACTCACACGGCACTACAGAAAGCACACAGGGGCAAAACCATTCAAGTGCATGGCTTGCGGCCGCTGCTTTTCACGCTCAGACCACTTAGCTCTTCACATGAAGAGACACCAGAACTAGGTTGAAGGCCGTTTCCCAGACAAGGGGGTTTGACTGATCTTTAATGTACAGATGAACAAAGTACTGCCATTATATACACACACACACACAAACACGCACGCATGCAAACACACACACTTGAATACCCTTATATACAGAAGATAAATAGTTTTATTCTTGCAAGGATATATGTTTGGTAGGAAAAAAACAGTTATTTAACTGGAAGCCAATTGTGCAAAGCATTAATTCGCCCAAAAAGAAGTCCAGGACTTTTTTTTGTATTGTTATTTATTTTGTGTTTCCTGGAAGCAAGCCTGCTCTCCTACACCTGAAATATTGGTTCGGTAGAAAAAAAAGTGAAAGAGTTAAGATGCTAAATCACAGATCACCAATAAACTGAGATTCAACATGTAATATTGCAGTCTGATTAGTTAAGAATCTTGATTGAAGGGGATAGAATCAAGGGAGTCAGCAGTACTGAAGTCTAAACAGTACTGTCTATTGAAGAAGCATGCAATAAAAACAATGTTTTGTGGGCTAACGGGAACGTGGGTAGATTTGAACTCAAAAGATAGGCACTTTGCTTAGATTAAAGCACTAAAATTGTATCTGGCACAGCCACTCCAACACACCAGCTGATAGACAAAGGCTTTTTTGCTTCACTTTATGATGGTGGCATTCGTTCCACGACTTCAAACACCAACCAGTCAGTCAGGCCTCGTAGCACACGTGAGCTCTCAATTCCACATTGTGCCTTAAACAAAAAAAAAGACGCAAATGAGGTAGTTCTTCAGCGAATGTCCAGCTGTTACTGTTCTAAGCCAATGTGCTGAAAACTTAAGAGAGCATCTTAACTTACAACCAGCCGCTGGATTAAATGTACTCTGAACGTTGCCTCTAGACTTTGTGCCAAGATGCCCTGCTGTTACTCTAATGATTGTGATGTGCGTGGATTGATGGACACTGACTGCACTGATTATGTGCATTTGGACATTAAAGGCAATTTGACTTCTGTGCAAGGCTCGGGTACCAATGAACTGTCAGGCATTGAGTTGTGAAGAAGATTCATTGAGAAAATGTTGAGTAAAACTCATCATGGTGGGGAAATGAAATGCCTCAGAGCCAAATGCTCAACAGAACTCGCAAACACAAGCATGGGGGGTGGGGGGGGGGGGGGGGGCGTGACTGGTAACCAATGGTTTAGGGTGATCTTACTGTATTAGCCAATTTAAATAATTTGATTACCAATGGTTTTAAGGTTGATTTGTCCATTGCTGTTTTTTTCCACCCTCCCATTTTCCAGCTATGATTGTTGACTTCCTATCAGATAGCCTTCACAAGCACTCACATCAATTGGGGGAAGGATGACATGCAAAGAGCTGTGACAATCATGGGTGGATCAACTTGGGGAGGGGGTGAATAGCTTGGAAAAGGGCACCTTGTTGCAATATTGAATGGCACCTTCTGGAAAGACAGGCAGAGAGCTCAAAATGTCTTTAAAATGGATACAGATTGCTTACAAATCAAGGAGAAACAGAATGGCTGATAAGGATCCCACTTGGGACTGGATGGATCCCAGAACCATCTAAGACTAATAACAATAATAATTATAATAATAATCATCCTTACATTTGGTACAATGCCTTTCACTTCGGGAAGTCGTCTCAAAGCACTTCATAAGATGTATGTTCATAAGAGGAGTAACTATGTTTCGTGGATAACGTGACAGCCAATTTGCATATAGCAACATGTAACAAACAGCCATGAAATGAATAATATCACAACAACAAAAATTACATTTGTAAAGTGCCTTTCACGTCGGGAGGACGTCCCAAGACGCTGAATTCACTTAATTTTGCAAGTGAAGTGTTGAAAGCAAAATTATTGGGAACTTCCAAATAGCGAATGCTCATTAGTTATGATGTTACTCAAGTGTCATGATTAACTAATGGTCGCATTATCGAATGGAGAGTTTACACTAAACATACAGACCATAGTATTTTCAGTTATAGTCTGATACCAATGACCCAAAGAAACAATGGAATGTAAATACTGGGATATTTAGTGTTGTAAATANTTTTTTATAATTTGTTAAAATACTGTTTATATTCAGAACAAAGGGGGAAAAAAAGTGGTGGTAGGNTTTTTTGCTTCAGTTTGTTTTATTCCTTATTTTTATAATGTAGTTCCGCAAATCTGAAGAAAAGAATCAAAAGTATAAATGAATGCTCAATTTCTGGGTTGAAAAAGAATTCTTAATCCATTAATGCAGTTGTGCTGGATTTTGGTTAAAAGCTGTACACTGTATAATAAGAGAAATAAAGAACAAAATATGAAATAAAGAGATGTGAGAGATGGGAACTTTGCTTTGTTTGAATTACATGAAGCTAGGCAAATCTTAGGCAAATCTCTTCATTGTTCCCTTCCACCTACTCTTCCCTAGCACGCTGTTCCAGCTCTATTCTATTGTCATGTTCTGTGTTCTTCTAACCCTAGTTACACTGTTCCTTCCTCATTCTTTCCATCCCACCATTGCTGTCCTTCAGTCACTGTGATCCTCTCTATAACTCTCTCCCAAAATCTCTTTACCTTGCTCCTTCCACCAAAAGCTTCATAAAACACATCACTTTGACCACAATGTTGGCCAATAATCTCAGATTCATTCTCCCCTCATCTCTGTGAAGTGTTTGAAGATGTTCATCCTATCTAAAACTTGTTCTATAAATCCAGGTTGTCATATTTATTTAAATTGAATTACTTTATATGCCAACTATTAAGTAGCTACATGTTGCTTAGGGTGACCCATTTCCCATCTACTAGGTTCCCTTCCTATGGCTGAGTTCCCATCCCATACCGGATATCTCACATCCCAAAGTCCAACAATTCTAGAAACATATACATGGGATGAGGTTTTGGGCAGGTTATCCATCTGGTTAATCATTCCGAATTCAGTGATCTTCCGATTCTTTCAGTTTCTACAATTGCAGACTGTAATGAAGCTGAACAAACTAATATAAGTCATCAGAGAGTTAATATTCTCCCACATGCGTATAGGCACAAAGAAAGAATTTGCATTCCGTCAGCTGCATATAAGACCCTAGTAACTATATTTTAGATAAGAATAAGTAAAAACATCCTTCAATTTGATACACCAACTTTCACATCGAGAGGATGTTGCTAAATGCTTTACAGGATAATAATATAATAATAATACTTGCAATTCATATAGCCCATTATCATGTCTTTGAGACATCTCAAAGCACTTCACAGAATATATTTTAAAGTGAATTGACTGTATATGTTGGAGGCGAAAGAGGTAATTCTGTGAAGTATTGCAACTGGATATTTTGTGAACGAACGCAAAACCAAATGCAGAAATCTTGTAACTGTGAACCTTTGTAAACTTTGCCACTCTCCCTTCATACCAGGATTTTGGTCACTTTGTGCCCTTTCGCACATCAACCCATTATTCACTATGTATAATCTTCTTTCACTGCCTTCTTCCTCTTGGGCAGAGCAAAGCACTGGTGAGGTGGCATTTGAAATTTGATCCATTTCCAGACCATCATTAACATCAAATACTCTCCCAATTTACTCTAAGCAAGTTTAGATACGTCTCCCAGGAAACAGATCTTATCTTTCAAGAGTCAAAGCTAATAAATCCTATGTGTTTTCATACGTAGATTTACAAACATATACAGCCTACTGAACACTTCACTTTTGCTAGGGTCAACTTTGTTGGAACAAAAAGGTAATCAATCTTGGAATAGGGTTGACATGGATTAGGTGAAAAGATGAATGAACTGTTCCACGTCTATCAGACGTTTCCATGTTACTGAATTCCATCTCTAGTCATGTCTGGTAGAGACGTCCAAACCAAGAGGACATCATTTTAAAATTAGAGTGAGATCAGTAAACATTTGTTCACACAGAGGGCTGGGAGAATGTGGAATGTATTGCCCCAGAGGTGATGCAGGAAAATCAATTAGGGGTGTTTCAAAGGGAGATAGATAATGTTAATCCGTAATAGTAATTGTTGCAATTTATTATAGCACCCATCACATCAGGAGGGCTTCACAGGATTTACTAAAAAGTGATTATACATTGTGAGCAAACATGGCAGTCAATTTGTACCTAGCAATGTCCCACAAACAGCCATGAAAAGAATCAACAATTTTATTTGGGGGATTGTTGGCCAGGAAACTGGGAGAGAGAAACTCCCTTCTTTTTTCGAGTAATGCTACTTTAATGTCTTTCACATCCACCTGAACAGCCAGACATAACATTTGTTTAACATTTCATCCAAAGGCCAACACCTTTGTAGTGCACCCCCAGCACTGCATTGGGGTGTCAGCCAGGACTATATGTGTTCAAAGTCCTAATTTGGGGCACTTGGGAAGTAGGGACATTAAGAGGTATACGGAGAAATACAGAGAAATTGGTTTAAAAGATTAGTGGTGGCCTAATAAACTGGAATGAAAGGCTTGATGAGCTGAACAGCCTTTTGTTCTTATGTTGTGCAATGTATTTAGAAGTGTAACATTTTCAAATTGGTGATCCAGTTCCTGAGCCAGGCGGGTCTGCAGTATTCCAGGGCACTGCTGATGACAGCACAGCCAGCCCGGCTCATCATAGGACTTGGAAGTACAGATCACTGACTGGGGGAGGAACTCTTCCCACCTCCCTAACAGGTATGGTGATCCTTGCTGGACAAGCATTGGGAAAGCTTGCCAGACAGCGCTATGAGTGGCAACCTATGTGATTTTAGTTGGTTAAGCTCCAGCAATACTCAACAACAACAATAACAAGCATGTATATAGCGCCCTCCACGCCTGGCGAAGTCCCAGAGTGCTTAACTATGGTGGAGCCTGATGCCGAGCCAGGGCGAAGGGGAAGGCGACCATTGGCACAGTCGAAGAGGGAGGGGGGGTGCCAAGGTGTGGAAGGATTTAAACACGAGAGTGAGGATCTTGAAGTCAATCCGTTCTGTGGCAGGAAGCCAATGGAGTTTGGCAAAGACTCGGGTGATCGGGGTACGGAGTTTAGTACGGGTGAGAATGCCGGCAGCGGAGTTTTGGATAAGTTGAATTTTGTGAATAGTGGAGGAGGAGAGACCGGTGAGGAGGGCATTTGTATAGTCCAGCCAACAGGTGACGAAAGCATGGACAAGGTTTTCAACAGCTTGTGGAATGAGGTATTGTTGAAGACAGGCAATGTGGCGGAGGTGGAGGAAAGGGATCCTGGTCAGGGACTGAATGTGGGGGAGGAAGGATAACTGGGGATTGAACCTGATGCCTAAGTTGCGCACGGGTTCAGAGAGTTTTAAGGACCAATCAGGTAGGTTGAGGAGGTCTGAACCGCAGGACAGAAGATGTTGACAGGAGCCAAAGAGTATGGCCTCCATCTTGCCCTCCAGGAGGATAAGGAGCATAGGGAGCCCTCGTCACAGATAGAGTAAATCGTTTTTGATTTTCATGAGTGCTGTCTCTGTATTGTGGGCAGGGCGGAAACCGGACTGGAGGGTTTAAACTAGGGAGTGGAGGGAGAGGTGTGCACGAAGTTGGTTGGCAACAATACGTTCCAAAGCTTTAGCCGGGAAGCGCTGGTTTGAGATAGGGCAGTAGTGCATGAGGTTGGAGTGATCGAGGGTAGGTTTTGTAAGGAAGGGGGGGTGACGACAGCGGTTTTGAAGGGAAGTTGGACTGATCCTGACGAGACAGACTGATTAATGGTGTCTGCCAGCATTGGTGTCAACTCATCCTCTGGGGTCCCAAGCCTTAGCTCTTGACAAACTTTGCCCATTATTCACTGAAATTGGGTAAACAGAATACATCTCGCCAGGGAGAGTGCACATTCCATTCCAATAAATATCTCTGGAGTTTCCACGTGTAGATGGGATGCATGGAATTCTCAGTTTGGTTTGGATACTTTTAAGCATGGTGATGGGTTTCCTCATGCGTCAGGCTGACCCCAAAAAATTCAATCAGAAATACTACATTGTATTACAATGAAGTGGAGGAAAGTTGAACAACAGGATAATAATAATAATAATCCTTGAATTTGATATAGCGCTTTTCACGTCGGGAGGACGTCCCAAAGCGCTTCACAGAATATACTGTAAAGTGAATTGACTGTATATTTGTGGGCGAACGCGGCAGCCAATTGTGCACAGCAGTGTCCCACAAACAGTCGTAGATTGAAAATGACCAATTTATTATTGTTTTGGGTTTTGGAGGGATTATTATTAGGCTCTGTGTGGAGTAAGGAAACTTGCCCAAGGTTTCGCCCTCTGCCTGGAATTGAACTGAGGTCTCTCGCTTGCAAAGCGAGTGCTCTAACCACTGAGCTACAGGACTCTACAGGATATCTCTCTTATTAAAAAAATTGCTTCCAAGAAAAACGTTTTTCTCACTAGTGATCCTGTTACACTCGGACCCCTGAAATGCAAGGCAAAAATGGTGATATCACACTTTTCAACAGTGTTGTTCACCATGAACACACAAGACTTGAGACATACTTCAGAATTAAATATGTTCTATAATAATAATCCTTGTATTTGATATAGCAACTTATTGTGTTGTTGAGACTTCTCAAAGAGCTTTACAGAATATACTGTAAAGTGAATTGACTATATTTTGTGGACGAAATGCAACAGTCGTAGATCGAGTGACCAAATTATCATTATTATTTTTATTAAGCCATTATTAACCCCAGAAAGCGATCTGACAATCGACTAACAGCCGGGTTCCAAATTACTGCCATGTAAACAGAGGCATGCGGAGTAAATATGGAGTCCTGTAGCTCAGTGGTTAGAGCACTCGCTTTGCAAGCGAGAGACCTGAGTTCAATTCCAGGCAGAGGGCGAAACCTTGGGCAAGTTTCCTTACGCCACACAGAGCCTAATAATTATCCCTCCAAAACCAAAAACAATAATAAATTGGTCATTTTCAATCCACGACTGTTTGTGGGACATTGCTGTGCGCAATTGGCTGCCGCGTTCGCCCACAAACGTACAGTCAATTCACTTTACAGTGCGTTCTGTGAAGCGCTTTGGGACGTCCTCCTGACGTGAAGAGCACTATATCAAATGCAAGGATTATTATTACTATTATTATTATAAAGAAACTTGCCTAAGGTCTCGTCCTGCCTGGGAATCGAACCCGGGCCCTCTTGCTTGCGACTCTAATCAATACGCTACAGGACTCCACACTCCACTCTATTGGCTTTTAAGAACCATGCAATCCTTTCCTTGTAGGATCTGCAAGAAACATCGCTTGTGTGTTAAACTGATTGTAAAGCAGACAAGCAAACAGCCAAGGGGAAAGATATTATGTTACAGTCA